TACAGGCTACAATATACCAGGAGCTTCCTACGACTTCTCTTTTTCGGTAGACCCCTATGGGTCATTCTGTCCAGACAAGTTTTCTTGTACCGGTGCCACTTTACTTACGGAGTTCATTGGAGGGCATTCGCATACACTGCCGACTTTAAACCTAGTGCCTACGAAGTTCTCCTTCTTTCCTAAGAGTCACATGACTGACTTTGCGGGCCCTTCTTCTGCCCCTGCTAGTTACCCGACCGACTCCACTGGCCCTTCCACAGGTATGCATTTATTATAAGTCAATATATTTCAAATGCACTATTATAATATTTGTTATAATATTTATTGCTTATAACATTTTGTGCAGAGCTTGAGAGGTTTGACTACACTTCGGAGATCCACTGTTATGCTCCTCTACCTCCGACCATCAGGACCACTGACAGGTGCTGCTACTTGGTAGAGCTTCTAAGGGATTTAGTCTCAAGCGTTGACCCAGGGTCTCTAGAGTCTTGGATTGAGTTCACTTCTTTCGTCGACCAACTCTTTGGCCTACTTGCCAATTTTGGGATGAGCACTACTGAGCTACTCTTCTGGGAGGCGGTGTGTCGCGAGACAGAGTCTTAAATCTGCCAACTAAGATCTCTCTCGATCACCCGGGCCATGGTTACACTTCCACAGTTAGAGTAGATGGTTGCCAGTCGCAGAGCGAGGGTTGACGACGTCCACGACCGATTAAATTGCAGTGCAGAGGCTTTGAGGAGACGCCGTAAGAGTTCTTCCGACATGGCTCAGAAGTTAGATGGGACGATAGCCCGCGTGCAGGATCTCTGAAGGGAAATCAGACAGGTGGTGTCCCGAGCGCTTCACGTACGGGAGAGACATGACCGATGGGACCGTCTTACTATGAGAGAGAAGCAACGTCACTGGTCTTTACAGTAGGAGATGATTGAGGTAGAATCTTCACTAACACAGGCTATGGAGCAGTTTAAGATCGCTCAATCAGAGTTCCAGACTTTGACTGAAACTCTGACTGAGATCACTGACAAGCTGAAGGGTTTACTGGCTCGCCTCTTTTGACATGTCCTCATTTTTTTTTTGTATGTACTCTTGTAGCATCTTGAGTCTCAGTGTACTTGTACCTCATGAAAATTATTATATACATACGTGAAGTTTTTTTTTAATATGTTTCTCTTTAGGTGTAATTTGAACTGTGTGTCATTCTAAGCTATGTTATACTCTGAGTTTGAGTTTTAGACTTGTGTTGTTGGTATCATAAAGGATTTTAAATATTTATTTGGATATTTCGGCACGCAGGGCGATGTCGATCCAAATAAATATTTAAAATGACACCTGTCCTCAAACATAATGATGAGGAGTGTCGCTTTAACCACTAGTTAGAGTTAGTGGTTGTAGCTTTAGCTCAAATTTCAAAAATTATGGCTCTTTCTATCCTGTGCTTTGTGCGGCATACTTGACGAAAGATTTGTAGGTTTTGGATTTGGCTGATAGTATCGAATACGGGTAGCATCTTAATTCTTAACCTTGAGGAGACTTTAATCTGAGTCACTTGAGTTCATCAGATTAGGAGAGCTAGAATTTAATAGCTCTTTGTTCTCTAATTGCTGAAACAGAGTTCCTCTACTGCGGCCTTTTTTATGGCGTGTTGAGTAGACGAAGCTACCAGCAATCCGGCCATATTTGAGCATGTTGGATCCAACCCTTTACACCCATTCAGGTTTCAGACTTGAGCTGTGGGAAGTGTGCTCCCCGATGTTGAATCTACTGAAGTTTGTAGATTTAAAGTCATCCTTCGTCGTTGAATACTTAGAGTTTACGCATATTTGGTAGGTGCTCAGGACCCTTTTCATTGGAATTTTGATTCTCCGGTCAATTAGGAGAGTCTTCTGGACTACGACTACTAGAACTCTTCGAGTCAAATTAGCCTTCGTTCTTCCTATAGTCCCTATTGACGGGTTGACGAAGTGGGGGTTCCGCTACTACAGCCTTTCATATGGCGTGTTGAGTAGACGGAGCTGCCAGTGATCCGGCCATATTTGGGCTTGTTGGATCCGGCCTTTTACAGCCATTCGAACCTTAAGCTTCAGGCTGTTGAAAGACTTCAAAGCTTTTCTGACTCAATTTGTTGGAGCATATAGTCATAAAAGATCTCTTTTCTGACTTTTGAAATCTTTATCACACTTGAAGGAGAGGTGTCCCGAACTTCAGGAAAATCACCTACATATATGCTGATAATAGAAGTTGTCGCATCCTGATTTAAAGGGATGTTCGTAGTTGATAATTTTAAATATTTATTCGAGGATCTCGCCACACAGCGTGATGTCGATCCGAATAAATATTTAAAATGCGCTCTAAAGTGATACTCCTGAATTTGGGCTCCAATTCACCAATAAATTTTCATACCTCTAAAGTGGTCATCTCCTAGCCTTAAATGTTTCAATGATACAATCCATCATTGAGATAGATTGTGCAATGCAAACCTGATCCACCTGATCTCCTGGAGCCTTCCAATTATCTCATGCATGAACTTATTCTAGAATTTTTCTTGCTGACTAGAAATTAACTTTCCTCTGCTAACCTAAAATGTAATGTTCCATCACAAGTGAATAAAAAACTAAAGGAGCACTTTAAGTCTTATCCTCATCATTAATAGTCACACCGACAATTCTCAAATCACAAAATAATTGAACTAAACTATTTCAAATGTGACTTGATTGGCATATCATCCTACATACACAATAAATACAACATGTGCTTTATATAGTTTGTTGACTACCATTTTAGTCACGAATGATGCTTTAGCTTGAGCCACAAACCATCAATAGTTGTCTCCTTTGAGACCTTTAGCAATACCTAGTCCAGCAAGCATAACTAAATCATCATAAGTTATTTTTCGTTCATCTCTACCTTTTCATCTTCAGTCATCATCAATGGCATCTTTGAACTTCCTATAAGTGGCTTCATGATACCTTTTTGCACTAGAACTCTATGCATCTAGCACTCCAAAGGCCAAATTCTTTGGCCCATCTAACTTACCAATCTCAAATTTTATGGCCATAGATCTCAAAACAGTGCTCTGACACTAGTTTATTACAAGGACACCAAATGACTCAAATATAAAAGTATTAATTAAGATAAAAAATAATGAACACAAATGAGAGAAAAATACAACTAGAGACACCATAATTTACATGATTCATATTTATCAAAGTTACACCCATGAGAAAGAAAAGAGAATATAATCCACCAGGAAGCACATTAAGTCATAATCGTGATTTACAAAATAAACTAAAAGCATTCACCATAAAGAAAATGAAGAAGAATAAGAAGAAGAAACCCAACAATCTCCCACCAAGAGATTATCTCACACACAAATATTCCTTCTTGCATGCAACTTGAAACCATTAATCCTCCAAGACCCTAGAATCTTGGAGCTATATGAGGAACTAAAAGATATCAAGATTGTTAGCTTTAAACATTAAATTGAGCACCCCTTGATGTAGTCATCCACTCTCCTCACGAGAATGAAGGCGAAATCAAATCACTTGGTGTCCCAATGCCAAAATTCATAGATTTTGATTTTTTTTTTTTTTAAATTCTAAGAGACACAACTGTGGCCTTCCACTTTTATAAGAGAAATTCAAAACTTAATGCAGACATATTTAGGGAATAGCATTAAAGTCTCCTTAACAATTATGCTAGATAGAATGATCACGCACTTTAAAAAAATAAGGCCAGAGTATAGCTCGAGTGGTAAAATGTAATGAGAGGGGGGCTTGTGATGGGAAGGGATGTGGAGCGATTAAATAAGATGAGTGGATGTATAATCCATAGATATTAGGTGTATATAGACATTATGGTATTAGTCAAAAGGAATTATAGCACAAAGGATTCTTTTAAGAACTACTCTCATAATTCTCTTGTAATATATGGATGAATTTTCTATGGAAGACTACAGAAAACTTCTGTAGAATAACATGTTCACTAACAAGTAAACCATTACCATTTTACTAATACATCAGAGATTACTACTTATCTGGACTTTAGTTGTAATAACTTTTGCTTGATAAATCTCACTTAAAGGTGAAGTTATCGTTGGTTATAAAATATAAATCAAGAGTATTAGAAATTAATTATATTCAATGTTTAAAAGTACATTAGTTATCCATAGCATTTGCGCACAAGTAATACAAAATTGGAACAATTCAATTAGGAGGGATCAAATTTTAAAGATGCTTCATTTGGATCCATATTAAACATTTTTGGCAAAAATTTAAGCATGAAATAAGATACAAATTTAATATCATCATCATCATTATCCTTATCCCAACTATTTGGAATTTGCTTTTCTTCATGAATACTCATTTTTTCTTCTATTCCTACTAAGTATTTTCTAAAATGTTAAATCTATTCTTCACAAATTATTTTGAACAACTTCCATATATCATAACTTAGGAGACTTATAAAGCAGTCCAAAAAAGTTGATTTAGCCTAAAAAAGCGCAAACTTCATGGGTTAATGATAAGATGTCAAACCAGGCCATAATATGGTCAAGCTGGTCCATTTCCAAGCCTTTCAGAACATTTTTTATGGCCAAATCTTTCATATTTTTTGGTTTCATTTACTTAATTAAGTATTTTTTTTAATTTAATTTAATTTAATTAAGTTAATTTATCCTCTTTTAAATAATATTAGGTTTAAATCTGAATGGTTGTTAAAATTGAATAAGATTATATTTTCTTTTAAATGTTTGGCCTTATCCTTGTAACCATATTTTTATAAATAGAAACCCTGATGTGTTTTCAATAATTATTGGATGATGAATGAAATCTAATTGTTTGTAAGGCTAATTAAGAGCTATTAAGATTCAAGTTGTGCATCTAAATTGTGTATGGCGAGATCTTCCTTCCCCCTCTCCATCAATTACTTTAATGTGCCTCTCCATAAAATTCTAACATGATTTTCATCGAAGAAAATTATTGAAGAGGCAAGGATTAACTTACAGCACCATTTCCAGGCCCACCACAATAAACAGTGTTTTTACCCATTGCAAGAAACAGTGGCTTCGCAGCAAGGTAAGCATCCTCTATTCCTCCAACCTATACAAGATATTTAGCATTGAAAAATTAATTGCACTGGAACTAACATTAAGAAATTTGATATAACCTCAATCGATGCATTCTAATAATTTACAGTTTTCCAACAGGAAAACAATGAGAAATAAATAAATAAAGCATGTACATTCTATGTGTAACTACATATATTGGACAAAAAATGATGACTTGTTTAAGAATCTGTAAATAAGAAAATTTTAGTACAAAAAAAAAAAAAAAATCAGGCTATACCATGAAAGTAAGAGTCGCAGCTGCAGCACCTGGAACGCCTCCAGAAACAGGAGCATCCAACATGAATGGGCTATCAGCATTCCCTGTTCGAATGGATCATACGAACATATAAAATAGCGATAAAAGACTAAAGAGAATAGAAATTGCCTCGTCATAGAAGTGGAATTGATAACCAACTATAAGTACCGTCAAAAGAGGGTAAGCTATTTAGATAATTAAAGAATAAACAAACTAACACATAAGAACATGTTCAGGCCACAGGCACATGGAAACAGCAGCCAAACTCTGTGTTAAGGAAAGGATGGTTGTACATCAACGTACAAAGTTCGTTGATTTGGACTTTCAGATCATTAGCTTGAGGAATGACAGGAATGTTGATTATCATAAATAAATGCGCAAATGAACACTGGAAGATGGGTACATTCCTTAGTTAATTATTGTTTGCTCAAGAAAAATGGCGCTTCGGCATAAATCCCAATATGCAGACTTAGGATTCCATTTTCTTTAAGGAAGATTGTAATTAACCAAATTTTCCCTTATAATTGGATCAGGGTTTAATTAGATATGGATTCTGACTTTTTATGAGCGTAAGCCCTTATAGTTAATTATCCCTCTTACCACGTAAGAGATAACTCTCGATTAAGGATGAATAATTTTAGGTATTTTAGTCCCGTTTGTTGGGGGATGGAGGTAGACCCGATCAAAATCTTATGGTTCCATCATCCCGGGAATACCAAAGGTTTAAGTCTACCAATGCTAGCAATCATTGATTGTAGTGTCCAGGGAATCTGATTAGCAGCCATGAGTTGCCTCCTCTCAAAGATCTCAAATAAACTAAAGTGGTTAAATGTAAGTTACAAATTTATTGTGGTTTGAGGTTTACATCTATTAGCTCCAATTTTTTTACCATACTTGTTCTCTTTCTTGTAACATAATTTTGTTTACAATACTTGTTCCTTTTCTTGCATTGCAATTTTGTTTACAATACCTTTTTTTTCTTGCACCATAGTTTTGTTCACAGTACTTGGTCTTTTTCTTGCACCGTAATTTTGTTTACAGTACATATTCTTTTTCATGCATCATAGTTTTCTTTACAGTACTTGTTCTTTTTCTCGCATTGCAATTTTGTTTACAGTACTGATTTTTATTTGTTTGTTTACAAGAGCTCGTATTGCCTTGGAGCTTACATAGGAGCTAGAGTTTTTTTTTAGTTTCTTTCTTTGGGAATTTGGAGTTTTAGTTTTAGGAGTTGAGTTTATTTAGTGTGAATTTGTTTTAGGTTTGTTTAGTGTAAACACTTTTCTTTTTATTGCATTTTTTTATTTCATTTTATAATGCTTTAATTAATTAAATTATAGGGATTTTTAATTGGTTAATTAATTAAATGACATTTATTTTTAAAATCGATTAATTAAGTAAATCAATTGATTAATAGTTTAATTTAATGAATTGTTCAGTTAATTAAATGAAATTTTAATTTGATTTTTAAGTTGCTCAATTTGGTTGGTTTATTTTTAAAGTTGTTTATTATTTAATTAATTAATTAAATTTTAAAGTGATTTTTCAATTGCTCAATTAATTAAATTTTAAAGTTATTTTAAAACTGATTAATAGATCTAATTTTTAATTTCATTTTTATTAATTAAATTGGAGATTTTAAATTGATTAATTCAACAACAACAACAACATCAAGCCTTTATCCCACTACGTGGGGTCGGCTACATGAATCCTTTTTCTCCATTGTGTCCTATTAAAAGTCAAATTCTCGTTTAAATCTAATAAAGAAAGGTCATTCCTAATATTTTCTAACCAAGTCTTTTTAGGTCCACCCCTACCTTTCTTAACATAAGTCAAATCTAATACCTCTACTCTCCTAACCGGGTCATCGCAAGGCCGTCGTTTTATGTGACCAAACCATCTAAGGCGACTCTCTCTAATCTTATCTTCTACTGGAGCTACTCCAACCTTTTCACGTATATGCTCATTTCGTATCCTATCTCTAAGGGTAAAGCCACTCATCCACCTGAGCATCCTCATCTCTGTCACACTTAACTTAGTATTATGCTTCTCTTTTAAAGGCCAACATTCGGCACCATATAGCATTGCAGGCCTCACTACCATCTTATAGAATTTTCCCTTAAGTTTGAGGGGTACATTTCTATCACATAACAAGCCCGATGCATTCCTCCACTTCAACCATCCAACTTGAATTCTGCTGATAATATCCCCATCTATTTCACCATCACTCTGAACAATAGATCCAAGATATCTAAAACGTGTACTCTTATTAATGACTTGATCGCTCAAAGTCACAATCCCCTCACTAGGTCTATTACTACTAAAATTACACTCCATATATTCCGTTTTAGATTTACTCAAGAGAAAGTCTTTAGACTCTAAGGTTGACCTCCATAATTCAAGTTTACCTTCAACTCCCTCTCTAGTCTTATCAACAAGAAGAATATCATCAGCAAAAAGCATACACCAAGGTATATCCTCTTGCAAATGTCTAGTGAGAACATCCATGACTAAAGTAAAAAGATATGGGCTTAAGGCTGATCCTTGATGTAGCCCAACCGAAATAGGGAAATACTTGGTCAATCCACCTTGTGTTTGAACACAAGTAATAGCTCCTGCATACATATCTTTAATGATTTGAATATAAGCATTATTGACTCCTTTCTTTTCAAGAACTCTCCATAGCACTTCTCTTGGAACTTTATCATATGCTTTTTCTAAATCAATAAATATCATATGTAGATCCTCCTTATTTTCTCTATATTTCTCCATCAAACCTCTTAATAAATGTATGGCTTCCATAGTCGACCTACCCGGCATGAATCCAAATTGATTTTGAGAAACATTAGTATCACGCCGCAACCTATGCTCCAAAACTCGCTCCCATAGTTTTAAAGTATGACACATTAACTTAATACCTCTATAATTCGCACAATCTTGTACATCACCTTTATTCTTAAAAATATGAATTAACACACTCATTCTCCACTCATCTGGCATCTTCTTAGTCTTCAAAATAGTATTAAAAAGTTTAGTAAGCCATGAAATTCCTTCATCTCCTAAGCATTTCCACACCTCTATTGGAATATCATCAGGTCCAACAGCTTTTCCACCCTTCATTTTCTTTAAAGACTCTCTAACTTCAGTTTTACTAATACGCCGATAAAAATATAAATCTTTATTTTCATCTAGGGTGCTAAGGTCACTATAGTCAATCTTATTTTCACAATCTTCATTAAAAAGTTTAGCAAAATATCTCATCTATCTTTGTTGAATATCATCTTCTAAGAAAAGTATTTTTTGATCTTCATCTTTAATACACTTCACTTGAACTAAATCCTTACTACTCCTATCTTTAAATTGATTAATTAATTAAATGAATTTTATAAGTGATTGGTAAGTTAATTAGTTGATGAATTTTAAATTTATTTTAATATTGATATATCAATTATTTAATTGATTAAATGAGATTTTAAATTTGCTTTAAATTAATGAATTAATTATTAGATTACTAGAGTTCTCAAATTACTCTCCCATATCTCCTAGAAATTCGGCAACCTCCCAGCGTCCCCTCCCTATGAGAGGAGGTCGGGACAACACTTGTCGTGGTTTCTACCCCCAGATTAAATATACAACCGCACGAGGTCTTCAAAATAGAAATCATCCTATCTGGATCAAAGATCAATGGCATAAAGCCTTCAATTTTAAAATTCATCCCTCCAAGATCAAAGATCAATGACACAGGGTATTGAAATTGAATTACCAGCTTGTTTTATAATTTTATTTAGCTTAGTATTTAAAAATATAAATTTCATCAAAAAGCTGGCAACCTTCCGGCATCCCCTCCCCGCAAAGTGAGGTTGAGATGGCCTTTACAGTTGATTCTACATGCCCGAATCAAAGATACGATGGCGCGGAACCTTCGAAATAGAAATCATCCCACCCAGATCAAAGATCAACAACGTAGGACCTTCAATTTTAAAATTCATCCCGCCTAGATCAAAGATCAATGGAGCAGGGTCTTGAAATTGAATTACTTGCTTTATTGCCAAAATAAGAAGTTTATTTAATCATACAACAATCTTATTTTAATTATTTAGCCCAATACATTCGGTTGGAGGGATCGTGAAGCACAACAAGCAGTTTGAATCACTGTAGCACAACAAGCAGTTTGAATTGTTGTTTCCTCTTGAGTGAACAGAGTACTCACAGATCAGAACGCTTATGTTTGAAATCGAAGGTGACGAGGGCAGAGGAAAAAATTGTGCAGGCTCTGGATTGAGATCGATAGACAGGAGCACACAAGCGATTTGTTGGGTAATTTATCGTGCGCGAAAGGGGGAGATGCAAAAGGAGACTGGGTTCGCGTACTAGGGCCGGTCGGACAAGGATGCTTCAAGCGAGATTCATGCAAGTGAAGACGGAATCGCACTAGGTGTCGCGGAAACGTGCATTGGCTGCAGTCGAACGGGAGGTTGGGGTTCAGTTTTACGCGAAACAGTCAGTGGCACGAGGAAGATGAACGAGAGGGTTGTGTGAAAGAGATGAATTAGAATCGAAACTGAGCGTAAGCTTTTTTTTTACATACATACCAAATTATTTCATTTAATATTACATTCCTACCACTCATATAAAATTTTAATATCAAATATATCACTTTTATATTTCATTCTTACCACCCCATAAACTTTAATATTTCATTTCATGCACTTATATTTGTTCTATGGATGGTATGTATGTAATATTAAAGTTTTAGGTGTTAGATATGTAAATAACATGAAATAAAATGATATGTATGTAAATTCCCCTTCTTTTATTTCAGTTTCATCGTCTTTCATTGATCGAATCGTCCAAATTAAGTGTCCTTTTGGCAAGCATCATTTTTGTTCTCTTTGGTTTTTGAAACGAACAGTCGACAATTATCAATTGTTATGTTGTACATCATATATTCAAGAAATAGTATCCTAAGTAATACTACTTATCAGCCAATGAAACAGTTGAAGTAATAAGGCCATATCACAGATAAATATTTTGCCTTGCAAAGGAGAAAAGAATGCAGTAGATACAGAAATTAATTGTATTGATAGTGAATCAGAAGACTGCCACATCACAAAGAACCTTTTTTCTCTTTCAGAAGACACTGAAAAATGTTCATTGATAGCTTTCTTGAAGTGTGAGGATCAATTGTAGATGAGTCAATAAATAACCAAGGCCTTACTTGACTTCCACCATGTAACAATCCATTTTGTCCAGTATAAACAGCCAATACCTGTAAAATTGTTCAAAATTTCAACATATTCATATGGAGTTTAGATAGTTGTTGACATCCCAGCACTTTGATTTAAACCAATTTTTTAAATGTTTTTCATCGCATTCGTAATCATTGTGAAGTCCAGTTTTTGAATTTTGAAATAACTGATATTAGAGGAGCCAATAACATATGATAGAAAGCTAAGGAGATTCATCACTATTCATTCATGGTAGGGACACCTATTCCATCAATGAAAGGAGTTTCACGCAATCAAGGTGGCCAAATGGCATGAAGACGCAAACTGCAAAAAATAGAAGCACAAATAACAGCATAAAACCTGATAGAGTAGATCAATTATTAAACCAGAATAGGATTTAACCTAATAAAGTGAAACAATCACTGGGTTCTAAATAAGAAAAGAAGATATCTGATTAATTAAATCTCCATTTCCCTTGTAACTTCATCCTACCCCTCGTAATCTCCACGGGCATGTGCTACATATAATATTTAAGTCAATAGTTGCTAAAAGAATTAATCCATTTGCTGAACGAAGTAATCATTGTTAAATGGAGAAAGTGGTTGGTATATTATTAAGAGCAAACCAACAGACCTTTAGTTTACTTATGATTGGAGGTAATAGACCAAGCCAGAAGAATCTTCAAAAGTTTAGCGATGTCTCAAACCAAAATAAACAGTATTAGCACTCTATGGCATATTGAGGTAGATTTGAAAATCTTAAGGATAATGTGTTCATTTTGAAAACACAAAAAATTGGGAACCAGAAATATCAACATATGCATGTTATTGGAATAGAATGGTGCCATTCAGACAAAATTTGGACTGTCGAAATGTGATATGTAGGGAGATTATCCTCAAAATTGATCAAAAATCCAATTTTGAAAAGAAAAATAGTATTCATGGGATAACAAAAGCAACAAAAGAGCTAGGAGTTTTTAAATTAAATGCTACATAAAAGAATTGGAACAGTTCATGATAAATGATATAGCATTAGAGTTGACTCACCATCTTCATCATCAGCATCATTAGCCAAGTCCCAATTTTATATATATATATATATATATTTATTTATTTATTTATTTATTTATTTATTTGTTTATTTATTTATTTATTTATTTACTGCAACGGTTTTAGTGAACCTATCAACGGTGTCTGCATGGGCTAGAATATGGCAAAGAGGAAAGCCAGTTTTAGATGCCATAAAGTGCAACAACAAGAAGATCCAGAAAATTGTTTTATTTTTTACCAGAATTTTGATACTTGTAAGGAACAAGGTCTTAATCTTAATTTTCCTCATTGAGGGATTTAATTATACTTATCTTCAATATTATATAACAAAGAAAATTTCTATATCATGTGTATTAAAATCATCTTATAGTTTCATTAATGTCTTCTATATTTTACTACTTATCTTATTCGTTGCTGAATTTCTCATGTTTTTTTCTTAAGTTTGAGGGATATCACACAATAGGCCCGATGCATTCATCCACTTCAAGCATCCAACTTTAATTCTACTAATAATATCCCCATATATTTCACCATTGCTTTGAACAATAGACTTGAAATATCTAAAATGTACTCTTTTTAATGACATGATCACTCAATGTTATAATCTCACCACTAGATCTATTACTACTAAAATCACACTCCAAGTATTCAATTTTAGATCTACTCAAATGAAAGCCTTCAGACTCTAAGGTAGACCTCCATAATTCAAGTTTTACGTCAAATCTCTCTCTCTCTCTCTCTCTCTCTCTAATCTTATCAACAACAAAAATATCATCAGCAAATAACATACACCAAAGTACACCCTCTTGCAATGTCTAGTAAGAACATTCATGACTAAAGCAAAAAGATATGGGCTTAAAGCTAATCCTTGATGTAATCCAACTGAAATAGGAAAATGCTTGGTCAAACCACGTTGTGTTTGAAGTTTGAACACAAGTAACAACTTATATATACATATCCTTATTAACTTGAATATAAGCATTATTAACTCCTTTCTTCTCTAAATCAATAAATATCATATGTAGATTCTCCTTACTCTCTCTATACTTCTCCGTCAAACCTCTCAACAAATATATAGCTCCATAGTAGAACTACCCCGCATGAATCCAAACTTGTTTTGAGAAACATTAGTATCACATCGTAACATATGCTCAATTACTCTCTTATAATTTTCATGTATGACCAATTAATTTAATTCTTCTATAATCCACACACTCTTGTGCATTACTTTTATTCTTAAAAATAGGAACCAACACACTCCTTCACTCATCTAACATCTTTTTCGTCTTCAAAATAATATTAAAAAGTTTAATAAGCCAAGAAATTCATTGATCTCCTAAGCATTGTCATACCTCTATTGGAATATCATCAAGTCCCACTATTTTTTTACACTTCATTTTTTTAAGTCTCTCTAACTTTAGTTTTACTAATACGACCATAAAAATAAAAATCTATATTTTTATTTAGGATGCTAAAATCACTAAAGTCAATTATATTATCATATATTCATTAAAAAGTTTATTGAAATGTCTCATCCACCTATGTTGAATATCCTCGCCTAAGAAAAACACTTTTTGATATTCATCCCGAATGCACTTCATTTCAACTAGATCCTTCACATATCTTTTTGCTTGGCTAACTTATACATATATCTTTCACCCTCCTTAATATCTAATTTATTATATAAATAACCAAAGGTTAAATTCTTTGCATCGCATATTACTTTCTTAAATTCCTACGGGCCCCTCTATATATTTCCCAATTTTTTGAGATTTTACATCGAAACTAATTTTTATAACAAAGCTTATTATTATTGATATTTTCTAGCACATTTTGATTTCACCATCAATTATTTTTACTATTAAGAGCTTTTGATGGGGACATCAGTTAGAAAGTCTACCGTCGATGTGGCCGTAGATCTACGGCCATGATTTACCCGATGTATTTCTGATTTTAGTATTGTCATTTTATTTTTGATGTACTTTATTTCTGCATTTTCCCTTTTTACCCTTGCTTGAGGGATTGAGTCATGTAGCCCCATGAGGGTATTTGAGTCCTTTTATTTTATGTCATTGTATTAGGCTATTTATAGCATTCATCTTATACTTTTGAGGGTTAATGAATGATATTGAAAAGAATTTCTGCAATTTGTCTTCTTGAAGCTTTTTGTGTGGAGCTTGAGATTTGAGAGTTTGGTGGAGCTTAGGAGAGGCCACCCGTCGTGCCCAACAGTCACCACCGGTGGCTCTTGGTTTATCCTTCTTCCCTTGTTTCCCCTACACCCAAAGTCCACCGCCGGCCATTCCCCACCACCAATCACCACCTCCTAACCTCACCACCCAAACTAAACCTCCCCAAAACTGTCCCTCCCATTCATCCCGCCGCCCATCCCCATAACCGCCGGCCTCCCCTTCATCCACCACCCCCCCCCACTCCCATTAATTGCCGGCACCCTTGCCGCCAACTCAAGTATTTTCAAATTTTGAAATTTGAAAATTTTGATGAGTGAAAGTTTCCAATTTTGTCCGACGCCAAATTAGGAAAGTTTCAATGAGACTTCAAATTTCAAATTTGAATTTGAGCGGATTTGAAATTTTCATGATTAATTAGGCGGAGCGAATTAGGAAACGCATAACTTCTCTTCCCCTCACTCCCAATCCTCCTCTACATGCCGCCGGCCCCCCTTAGTGGGCCCCTCTCCTTTAGTGCTTCATTAAGGGACTTAATGTCATGCTATTTGAATTTCAAATCCCTTTAATTTCCCTCCAATTTTACTTAAATCTGAGAATAATCTCAGATTTGAAACTTAAAACAATTTCTATTCCACCTAACCTAACCTAGCTTCCTCCCAACCCTAGCCGACTCCCCCCCCCCTTACAACTCGCCGGCCCCTCCCTTCCCCTCTTCCCTCCCTCTCGCGGGAGGTGTCTCCCCTTGTAAATGGAGCATGGATGATCGACCCGGAGTTGAGTCACGTGTTATGCAACGAAGCTAAGAGTGCATGGAATCTTCTCAACTTACCTTTTCAACATATGACTTCAATCTTGTTGAGTCATAAGAGAAGGTCCACTTACCACTTGCTACTTCACCGGCCGATCAACGGTAGGAGAGATTGAACGTACAGATTTCGACTCGATCGATTCGATCGAAGGTCGTCAGACGAAATTGACTCAAATCAAACCCTCCGACTTTAATTACAATTAAAATCAATAGTATAATTTAATTTTAAAAATCAAATTCAACTCTCAATTTCCAAACCCGCTCGAGCGTTCGTCGCGAGGTTGCAATATCGAGCAATTCAGCGCCACCGATTTCGAGTTCAATTTCATGAAATTAAAATTTGATTGAACCCAATCGGACCCAAACCGGTTCGGGTCGAGCCCCATCCGGACTCCAATTTCAGTCTCGCGCTAATGTTTTACCCCTCATATGTTATGGGGGCTAATAGAGGGGATCGTGTCGTGAATTAAATGTTCTGTGAGATTTGCTCCTTAGAGATTTGCTCTCCTACAATATTCTCTACTGAAATCAAACCACCACCACTAATTTCAAGGGCTCAGATTTCATCTGGTGGATCGAATTCTGTCTACCTTCCCACCAATTTACTTAGCCCAGAATGGACCCTACTTTGCCACTCTCGCTCACGTCTGCTCCGAAAAGTGAAGTGTCCGTGTTCGTCGTGATTCTGCCGATACCCATATTTTTGGGCACCGCCGTAATATGTACTTTGTGTCTAGATGGGTCGACACTCTTCCTTTTATAAGGATAGAAGAGCCCTATCTGTAGCAAGGTTTGTGAGAACGCGTGCGGTGACCGTTCATCCGCTATATCCGGTTTCCAATCCCTTGGTGATTTTTCCGCAAGCAACCACTGGATTCTACAGGGAGAGTATGATAAAAAAAGTTTCCTATTTCTTTGAATTGAGTTGAGTAGTGAGCTGCCACGGGGGGTGTAGGAGACGGCCCATTCAGCTGCGTCGGGTGCTTCTGCTGAATCCTTTCGTGATCCTCTTGCGATCCATCGTACTTCTCAACGAAGCAGGTCAGATAGACCCAACACAGTCCGGAGAGGAGCCAGAGATGGAGCAGAAAGTGGGCCAGTTTTCGCCCCGTGGTTTGCGATGCATCTCCAGTAGGACGGCCCCAAGGTGAGGATGTGAGGGGGCTGACGCTAACCCTCGGCATCCCTTGCTAATGATCGTTTTTATCTCTATGTACATCTGTACAACCACCACAAAAATTATTCTTGGGCAGAAAAAGGGGTATGATGGCAGTTGGAGATTTTTAAGGGCCTTATATATTATCTAATACTAATTTTTAAATTAAACTTCAAAGAAGCAAATCAGGACAAAGATTATAAATTAGCCCTCCTTCCATTCACTTTAACCTTAACTTAAATAAAACAATAATCTCAGTCATTCATAAAGTAGTGTGTCTTGTTCCCCGAGCTTCTCTCCCTCCTTTTCTACCTTAAGTAATCAATAATCCGGTTGGAGATTTCCGTCCTGTGGCACCACCTATCGGTGTGCTCTAGATGGCGAAAGGTCTTTATAGGACTGCAAACATGCTAAAGCTCCTAGAAAGACCTTTCAAATTAAATTTACGCTCCCCAAACATGTTGGTTTTAGAGGGGCCTTGACCGGAGGATCCATTGAATGTGACTGCCAAAACTCCTGATAATTTTAGGGTCTCAACTTCCCACTTTAGCGGCTTGGTCGACAGTCTAACTTGGAGACTATTGATCGACATGCGGGTGGTTTAAAGGCTTGGTCTTTTAGGACAGCAACCACAGGCAGCGCCTTCCGAGAAGGACTCTATTGTTCAAAACAGTGTTGAAACTTGCTGTTTTCGGGAAGCAATTTCCACAATATGGAACCTTGGACAGGTGCAAAACGGCGACCTCGGAAGCTTCTCAAACAGGTAAAATTCTAGGTAACATCCACTTTCGTGAAAACGTAGCGGATTTGAAGGTTTCGCTAATAATTAACACGAAGACAGCAAAGGGATATTAAACTTGTGTGATCTCCATTAGGGTAAGGCTTGTTATCTAATAACTCTTTTGGTGATACCAAGTCAGATTTGGGGAGCTTTCAAAGGCTCGTACATTCCCTTCGAAGAGACAGGGCAGTTTGAGCTGTTGCTGTCGAGTGGCGGAGCGTCTGGACAAAGGGTCTTTTAAGGGTAGTGAAACATATGTTGGATAGAAAAAACGGCGGGGGAGTTGATTCGGACACACCCGAAAAGTAGTGATTTGAGGGGCTTAG